GAGGCTGGAACCCAGTAAGGTGGAATGCTGATGTACGGGAGAGTGTTGGGACACTTTAAGTTTTTCTTCTGATTGTTTGCATTTTTTAATGTTTAATGTTTTATTTTCTAGGACTGTGGTTCATAATGTGGCAGTTACCGTATTTTTCGGAGTATAAGACGCACCTTTCCCCCCCCCTAAAAGGGGGTGAAAATTTAAGTGCGTCTTATACACCGAATGTAGCCCCACCCACCCACTGGCCCCCACCTTTTGGCCTCTGCCTCGCAGCAGTTACCTCACTGCAAGCAAACAGCAAGAAAAAACAGCTCCTTTCAGCTTCATCACAGACTAATTAGCACAAGTTGATTGGATCGACCGCCCGACTCTCAGCTGATTTGCTCTCAGCTGTTTTGCGCAGGGCTGTGCAGCTTGCTGCAAAGAGGTAAGTTGCTGGAGCAGATTTTTTTTTCCTTGTGCTAGTCAAGCTATGCTGAAAACGAAAATGAAAGTAAAGCAGGCTGTTTGCTGTAACGAGGCAAAATTGCTCAGAGGCAGAGGCAGAGGGAGAGTTCTTTTTCTTCTTTTCCTCACCAAAAAAGGTAGGTGCGTCTTATACTCTGGTGTGTCTTATACTCCGAAAAATATAGTATATAAATAATATTTTACCGTATTAATATATAATATAATAAACAAACAAACCCTTAGATCAGGGATTGAAAAATTCCAGTCAAGAGTATGGATATAGCCTACAAGGCATTCATATTGACGTATTTCCCCTCAAAAGCTTCACTCAGGCTGAATCATAGATCGAGATGTACACAGGGCAGAACAAGAACACTGGCTGCAAGCCAGAGGAAGCAAGTCAGGAAGAAATGACACATAACAAGAACTCTGATTGAGTGGACTCTCCTCCAGATTGAGTTCACCTGTACTCCAGATGTACATTTGGGAAGCATCCAGTCATTTTGCTGGATTCAGTTTTTCATCCTTATCCTAGACAAAGTGGCATCAGTGTTCAAGGTAGGGTCATAGGTCAGTGCTGAACAAATATTTTACATTCACAGGAACCCAGATTCAAGTCTTGCAATTCTAATTAAAGGAAACCCAAGTATTGGAATTGGCAAGGCTTCTGTTCAGGGTGAAAGAAAATCAATGCCAGCCAATTAGAGTAGATAATATGGGACTAAATGAATCAGTGGTCAGACAGAGCAATAGTCTGATTATGAAAACTGAGTCATATGTACTCATTTGGGAACCTAAGGAAGCAAGAAAGATCTAATCTACCCTCAAGACTTTTTCTGCTCAAAGTTAAAGAACAGGGAAATGATGAGAGAGAGAAATGCAAACAATAAAGAAAATCAAAAATAATAAATGTATATATATAAATGCAGTTTCATATATTTACACAATTACTTGTGATTTGATACAAAATCAGAACCTTGGTTTCAGCTGAGGATTTCACTCCATTTGTCAAATATAAATAGCTCATGGCTCTAGGGCTAATAGCATTTTTTTTAAAAAAGTCGGCAAATACTATTCAGAGTGGTTTCCAGCATTCTTTTTTTACTAAAATATGGAGAAAGAGTAGAAATTATGTAAGAAATTTGTGGGCACAATGCAACCTCACATTTGCCTCCCTTCCCCCCTCCCCCCCCAGCTAGATTACCACAGAAATTGGTTTCCACAAAATGAGATGTTAAATATCCATCTCTCCCTTGCATTCTTTTCCTCAACAGAAATAAGAGGCAGCAAATAAGATGGGAGAAGAGAAATTTCACCCCTTTCCCCATCCCTTCATTGAAGAATGGCAGGGGTCCAGATTGGCAGAACAACAGAAATCTCAGCCCCTCCTCAGTCCTAACAACAGGAGGGAGGCAGCTGGTTGGATAGTGGAGTGGCAATGGTATGGCTGGGTATTGGCCAAGCTCGTGGCAGCCACATGGCTAAAGTGGCCATCAATAATGGCCTCCACAAGATGGGCAGTGACTCCAAAAAAGAAAGATATGATGACAGAAGGACATGCTGCAAGAAAGAAATAAGGATTTTTTACAACTATACCTGTAGTAAACGCATCACCAATTTTTAAAAAATTAATAATAGTATAGGGAATATTACAGGCTAAACTATATCTAGCATAAGGAATTAAGGAATGATATGTGGGGAAACTGGGGCTATGTGGGAAACCAGTGGAGCTCCCACTTTCTGAGGCCCAGTACTGCTGCCCTCAGAAAGGGAAAGGATGAAAGCTAAAATAATGAGCCGTGGTGGAATCAGAATGCAGTACTGCAGGCTTCTTCTGCCGGCTGCCAGCAGTTTGGCAGTTCAAATCTCACCAGGCTCAAGCCTTCCACCCTTCCAAAGTCAGTAAAATGAGGACCCAGATTGTTGGCGGCAATATGCTGACACTGTAAACTGCTGTAGAGAGGGCTGTAAAGCACTGTGAAGCGGTATATAAGTGTAAGTGCTATATCTATGAAAGCTAAAATAAGCTAATTGTGTCGGCTTCCTTTACAACAAGTTCTAATAAGTAACAAAAAAGAAATGTAAATATGAAAAAATACATTTAAAACAGTACTCAGTTCAAAGATGTCAAGGGATGCTAACAGAGTCAGAATGGCAGTTGCAGCCATGTAATGGCAGTCCCAGCCCTAAGGCAGACAGAAGTTGGCTTTTATGACAACCTCTGCAAAATAAAACTGAGAAAACTGCACAGTTACCATCACTGTCATACTTCAAGAGAAATAAATAGTACCAAATAAAAGTTCTGCCTTTAAAGAAACTTTTCAAAACAAATATTCCTGCTAGCAAGAATCTACTCTTTTCCTCAAGAATGTTCTGTGATTCTTTATATAAAAAAAAAACATTTATCAACATATTTTATGATATAAGTGCACCAATGTTACTTTTACTTCCATTTTTAACTACCTGTGCTTTGGTATATCCAGACAATTCCTGGTTTGTCTTTACAATATTTTAGGGCAGGGTTAAATTTTGTTTAGGCCAAGATAACTGAGGCTGGTAGGACCTAAAGTTCAAAATACATGGACAGCACTAAATTGCCTATTTCTGCATTAGGGGAAAAACTCAATATGGCCTTTTTTTTTTTTTTTTTAATTTGATTTATATGCCGCCCTTCTCCGGAGACTCAGGGCGGCTTACAGTGCATTAAGCAATAACGCCTTCTTCTTTAAATCAGCCTTTCTCAAGCTGATTTAAATCAGCCTTTCCCAAGCATAAGAACTATAACTATTTACAAGGAAAGAGTTGCAATCCAATGCAACTGGAGATCACTGGGTTGGAGAAATACCCTAAACCACTGTCAAAATTAAACATATGTCTGCATATCTGTATAATCAAGATTAATTGACAATAAAAGCAAAAAGTATTATTCCCTCCTAGTTATATCAAAGAGTAATGTTATGTCCAAACCCAGTCGAGAATGAATGCTGATTGTTCATAAGAAAAGAGTACATACAATCTGCAGCACAGCCAAGGAATTGTCATTTTTTATGAGAAAATAAATTTATACCAAATCTAGATGAACTTTGGAGACACTCTTTTAGAGCTATTTCACACTATTATCATCCATATTTCCTAAAGAATAGGACTGTCAATCCTTCGAAAATGATTCCAAAATAACACTTTAGATGTTATGCAAGCCTAAGTTTTTTTTTCTGTCTTTTCAATTGCAACTGCTTTAAGGTTGTTGACTCATCAAAATTAATGTGATTTTTAAAGCTGCAAGTCTTTTTTTAACTTCATGCCAAACCCTAAAAAACTTTCTTCAACAAATAGTAGAGAAGTGTCATATGCACACAATTGCACAAGATCCAAAATAATTCTTCTAATCATTTTCAAAATATGCCAAGCCCTAATTCAGAATATATCTGGAGCAAACAACCATCCATATCCAGCATAACACGTTACATTCATTTGTGTGATGTTGAAATCGAGAAAGATTGCCAGTATGCAATTAGAAACATTAGATCCCCTGCCAATGGGCTGTGCTTTCTTATGTGTGATATAATCTACTGTACATTCATGAACTGAAAATGTAACAATTGGTTTTGAAGCCAATTAGTATATAATTCTGTTTTCTTTATCCTAACTTTTAATCAGTTAATCACAATTTACCCTATATACTCGTGTATAAACTGAGTTTTTCAGCACATTTTTTTATGCTGAAAAAGCCCCCCTCGGCTTATACTCGAGTGAGGGTCCCACTTACCTGTTCTCCAGAGCAGTGCGGGTGTTCTCCGGTCTCTCCCGCTCATCTACGGGCGCCTGCAGCAGTGGTGGGTTGCTCCCGGTTGCAGAAAAAAATGCTTTGTAGTAAAAATTTGTAGTAGATTGGAGAACCGGTAATAACATTGGCTGGCCACACCCCCGAACCAGTCCCTGGCCCGGTCGCCACTCGCTTACCCCGCCCACCTCATCAGAGGCTTTTTTTTTTTCTTTTTACTTTTAAAAGCATTTTTTCTACAACCTCTTCGGCTGAAAAAATACTTTTAAAAGTTAAAAAAAAAAGCCTCTGACGATCACGTGGCTCAGCTGGGATCGTCAGAGGCTCCTGAAAGCATTTTTTTCTGCAACCTCTTCTCCAGGGCTGTGACCAATGACATAGCCTTTACAGTCTTACCCGTGCTTGGTCACACCCCCTTGCTCCGCCCAAGCATTGCTGAATACAAGTAACGGTATATCTCTGCTCTTGGATATACAGTACGTTTATTTACAGTACTTAGTCTGCTATAGTTTATTTTTTATTTTCTTATTATCCCCTATCTGGACCCAGTGTTGACTATGCTTGCATAGAGCAGCCTGTGTTAGGGCTCATAGTATACACGCTGCGTTGTGTACGCGCTGTGTTACTGCATGTGTTACGTTAGCACTTCCCATACATATAAGTGCTACAGTGAATCTAGAATTTAATTTATTGTTCCAAACTCAGACTGGAAAGATTAGACTGTGAAAAGGAAATAATTATTCTCTCTTATACACACAGAAAGTTGTTTATATCTTACCATTTTGATGCCTGTTGAAAATGCCACTGGTTTGATAGGTTTGGGAATCTCCAGTTGCATTTCTAGCTGTGTAGACCGATCTTTATGCTGGGCTAATAACAAAGATGCTGGCAGATGAGAACTTTCCTACAATCAAAATTTAAAACATAGAGTAAAATATTTAAAAGCCATAAACCATCCACCATTACTGTCATGCATTCTTAGAATAACAAATTGCATCTTTCTCAAAAATGGCTTTCTCTGGCCATTTCCAGAAGAACAGCGTTCAATACTCCCAGTTTACCAGAAAATGGCCATTTTTACTAATAGAAGAAAGCTACATTAGACTCATAAATTTTAAAAAAACCTTACAAAGATATATTTTTATAGATTCTGCATTAACAAAAATGTAATAAAATGTAATAACTAGAAAGACAAATGTATTAAAATATGAGCATTATTCTAATAATTACATAATCATGTAATTAATATCACTTTCAAAGTCATAATAATTAGAATTAACAGTTCTAAAAAGCAGCAGCACGAAAAGTCATCTAAGCTGGATCCAAAACTTGCATCCAGTTTCAGCCTAGTTCCTCACTGGATTTTATCTGAGGCTGTTTGAAAGTTATTCTCAGCCCTCTCACATAATTAGATTTGTTCTTTATTACAGAGTTATTTTCTTCTTTAATAATTTAGCTGCATAAAAAGCAAGACAATCTCTTTAATACAAAACAGTGTGCCCATTTATTCAAATGGATAAATTTAGAACAGCATAATAATATCACTCAGACTAGCAAAAAGCAAATAAAATTTCATTCAATGTTTCCTCTGGTTTCCTAAGAATTAGTTTCAATACTTCAAAGTGTTTCTTGAAGTTTTCTTTGAAAATGGTGGACATAAGCTCAAAATCATATCATGGAAGGTAGTTGATTTTCTTCTTCCACTTTAGCTTAATTTAGAACTTGCCTATGAATAGCTTATGGTCTGTTCTGCAGTCACCCTCTGGGCACATCTTTGCTATTATAACTGAGCTCTTCCACCTCCTTGTGTAAATAATATAGTCAATTTGATTTCTGTGTATTCCACCTGGTGATGTCTATTTATATAGGTGGCACTCTGGTTATCTGAAGACTGTATTAGCAATGAAAAAAATCACTGGATTGGCAGAAACTACTAAGCCATTCTCATGCTTTATTTCTGTTTCTTAAATCATACAGCACTATTACTTTGTTCTTACAAAAAAAATCTCTCCAATTTTGCTAAACTTGTTTCCAATCACAAGTAGCACATTCTGCTTGCATATTGCATCAATTTCAGATTAAACATGACCATAAAACTTGTCAACCTCTTATTCTGCATCAATGAATGGAACATAAATTGTTTATTAAAGGGGTGCCTACAAAATCCAGAGGGTATTACTGCACTGTAGCTAAGTATTGCTGTTGCTATATCCTTCCTAACTATGAAAGCACCATAGTTCCTTCTTTATTTTTTGTTCCTGAATAGTAAAATGTTTGTTTTCTGAGTGATAGTGTCCTATTCCATCCATTTCAGTTAACTGTTGCTTAAGATGGCAATGGGCAGTCAAATTGCTTTCACTATTTTGAGCTTTCCAATGTTCAGGCTTCTAACATTCCATATTTCCACTTTAATTCTATTTTTATAGTTTCAGATTCTCTTTTCCTTAAGAAATTGGAGCAATTGAATACAGATTCCAGCTTACTGAAACAGAATTGGAACCTGAATCCACTTGCCATAAAATATTTGGAATAACATGAACAGAGGTTTCAAATGAAGCATTTTTTCAAAATATTTTCCATTTGGTATTCTATTTGCTTCACAAACTGTGCAGTGCATATCACACATTTTATAATGTGAAAGGATTGGTTAATCTACTTGCTGTAATTCCTGAGAGATGATGGAAGAGACATGATTTCCTATTCATATAATGGAAAATTGTTGGCTTACTATGACTTTTGAAATACATAAATGATCTCCTTATCACATAATAGACAGCAAATAGGTCAGTTATGGGATAAAATATGTGCTTGTGCCTAATTGTTTTTCATGTAATGGGTAGTTCTACTTTAACAGCAAAAGAGCACCAAAATATGTATATCTATACATCAGTTTGGTGTAGTGGTTAAGGCCATGATGGCGAACCTATGGAACACGTGCCAGAGGTGGCAGAGCCCTCTCTGTGGGCACGCACGCCATTGCCAGATGCTCTTCTGGTTTCCAGAGCATGAATGCACACTGGCCAGCTAGTATTTGGGTTTCTGGTGCTCCGGCATGCGCAAATGGTCCGGTTTGGGCACTCAGTGCCGAAAAGGTTCGCCATCACTGGGTTAAGGCATCCAGATTAGAAACCAAGAGAACATAAATTGTAGTTCCTCCTTGGGCACAAAGCCAGCTGGATGACCTTGGCCAGTCACTTTCTCTTAGCCCTAGGAAGGAGGCAATGGCAAACCACTTCTGAAAAACCTTGTCCAGAAAACTGCAGAGACTGTCCAGGCAATTTCTGAGAACTGGACATGAATGAACAGAAAAAAATTATAACTACTATTATTGAATGAGAGTCTTGAGGAGAATATTTAAAGTCCTTAATACTAATATTACTATTTTAGAATATTTAAGCATATTTTAGAATCAGGAGTAGTCTTCAAAATACTATTCTTCACAATAATTAACTTTTGAAGTGAGCCTTAAACAAAAAAGATTGAGAGCAATTTCCTCAGGGGAAGAAAAATAACACAAACAAAAACCTTTTTTTTCCTACTGCCCTTCACTTTACCTTTCAGTCATTAACAATGTATTTAGATATGTTTAGTAACGATGTGTACCCAGATGTCTTTCAATTACCTATTTTGGTCACATTCTAAAGATTATTTATAACTGCTCTTTTTTGCAAGGCATTTGGCAAAATGGATTTCCAGTAAAACCAATTGCTTTATAAGAAAACAATGTTCAGCTCATCTAAATTAAAAGAGCATTTAAATTGGAATTGGAAACATTTTGGTGACTCACTATAAGCTTTCTCTCCCTTTTCCTCTCTTAGGTCATTATAAAAAGTAAACTGTTAGTGATAAAGCTATTTTGAATTGACCTTCATAGTCTGATTATATGTAAGGTACATCTGCATTCAGGAATGCTTCCTCTATATGTTCTTTCCTTTCCACATGAAAGCAAAAGGTATTATCTTGTTCAGTATTATTCTACTTAGCTGGGAGGAGGGACCCTCCTTTAGGAGGGCCAACATGGTAAGAGACTGTGCTATACTAATTATAGTGTAAAACACTATAATTAGTGTTTTGGCAAACCTATGGCACGCGTGCCACACAGAGCCATCTCTCCAGGCATGCAAGCCGTCACCCGTTGCTCTTCCGGGTTCCGGTGCGCCGGCCAGATTGTCTTCACACAGGCAGGAGCACTAAAAACCCGAAGAGCAGCCACCTGGTGCGCATGCATGTGCCGGGATGATGATCTTCCAGTTTCTGGCACACATGCACACCGACCAGCTGGTCTTCGCACACGCATGCACACCAACTAGCTGGTCTTCATGCGCGCATGCACACCAGAAACCAGAAGACCAGATGGCCGGTGCACATGCGTGCACCGGAACGCAGATGATCATCTTCCTGGCATGTGCACCGGGCAGCTGCTCTTCCAGTTTCCTGCACACACATGTGTGCACGCTCCCATTTCGGCACTCAGTGCCGAAAAGGTTCGCCAACACTGGTGTAAGACTACAATGAAGTAAAGTAAAATCCTCTCTTAGTTATAAAGCAGGCTGGGTGTGGAACAGGCTGAGTGTGGAACTAGTCACCATCTCTCAACTGAGATTGTAGAACTTCCTACCTTAAAGGTCGGTTCCTTCAAAAAAACTAGCCAAAACGCTGGATGAAGTCGAAGAATATATTATTTACTGACTGAACTTTGACCAAACAGATCTTCCCCTTCCCCATCATACCCCAAAGACTATCCCAAAGGTGCTTTTTTTAAGAGGCAACTGAACTTTCTGTTTTTTCTTTGAAGACATTTTGCTTCTGAATGGTGGGGAATGGAAGGATCCAGTCAGAGCTGAAGAAGCTTCTTGGATGAGAAGTGAAAGTCTTCAAAGAAAAACCAGGAAGTCCAGTTGCCTCTTGAAAAAAGCACCTTTGGGACAACCATGACCTGGATGATTGAGAATCTCCATAGAGACTCCAAAAGACTACTTACTGAAAATTTAATAAGTAGATGTTGTATTTTTATTCTTTTATGAGTATGGCTTTGCTACACCTCACCTGAGATATTTGCGATAAATATTGTTAATAAATGACTTAGTCGGTCATTTCACTAAAACAAATCATTGACTGGTTTCACCAAAAAAAAAGATGCTCAATCAAACCTATTAACAATAACAATATGGCAGCTACATTTGCACATGTGCAAAGATCAGGAAATGGTTGAAGACATTTTAAAGTGCACAATTACTGGTAGAAACATAGTGGGTGATATATCATTTGTTATATGAGGAATTAATGTGAAAAAAGGCATGAATTACTGTGACAATGAGTATGCTTATGTGGAAATGAAAATACATTAAAAGAAATGTAAAATATGGTAAATGCAATAGGAATCAAGTCTTCGGACCTTATGAAATGCACTCTAGAATACCGAAAGGTGGCTAAACATTTTCAGATCCTTTATTGTTTAACTTTGAGGAAAACTATGGAATTGGGGAGGTGCCAAAGAACGAGAAACAAACAAATGTAGCCCCTCCTTTTCAAGAAAGGGGAAAATAGAGAATCCCACTAAACCTAACATCAGTACCTAAAAAGGTGTTAGAGCCAGTAATAAAATAGGTCATTTAAAACCATTATGAAGATAATGCTATGATTTCTAAGAGTCAGCAAGATTTTGTAATGAAGAAGAAGAAGAAGAAGAAGAAGAAGAAGAAGAAGAAGAGAGAAGAAGAAAAGAAGAAGAAGAAGAAGAGAAGAAGAAGAAGAAGAAGAAAAAAGAAGAAAAAGAGGAAGTCATATTAAATAAATCTTATTGTCTCCTTTAACAAAGTAAATATTTTGGTGGACAAGGGGAATGCTGTGGATGTAAGCTACCTAAATTTCAGCAAACTATAGGAAAGGTTCCACTAATATTCTCAGTGACAAGTTGTTAAAATATGGTTTAGATTACAGGTATCAAGCTCAATCATGACACGTGACATATTGTGACATTTCATGACTTTTTTGCCTTTGTGGAGCCGGGGTAGGCGTGGCCTGCACTTGACACATCCACCCCTGGGCACCAGTTTGACAGGCCTGGTTTAGATGGTACACTAACGAGACACTAACGCGTGCACTTCCAAATCGGTAAGGAAGGTAAGTAGATTTCACCCCTGCCATGAAGACAGGTTGATGGAATGTGGTTTGTTCAGTATGGAGAAAAGAGTAAGAGAAGATATATTCAGATACATCAAAGAGTACCACAGGAAAGATGGCCAGGAACTATTTCCATCACCATGGAAAAGAATTAATAGGCATAAATTACAGGTACTACAAATTTGTTCAAATATAAAGAAAAAAATCTTGATTGGTTGTTTTGTGTATAACTACTTGAGATGTTAGATGTTGGAATAGCCTATTTTTGTTTGCTTTTTCACATTCTTTCAAATTGAAGCTGACTTGGAAATATTTAATATAAAGGAGGACTGAAGAGGGATGGGAAATTAGGTTTAGAAGAAATATATCCTCCAGTTAGTTCTTTTAAACTGTAAAAAAATTCATCCACAGCTTTCAAAAATATACTACGGGATAAAGGCTAGGCCCAGCATGCAATTTCCCCTTCCTTACTTCCAACTTGCTTAAGTTAAAGAGAAGCATTTCCCCTTATAGCTTTGAAACTGCTATTTATAAGAATTCAGCTCTAGATACACGTCCATCAACTTTGAAGCCAAACAATGCCAACTTCTCGTCCTCGTCCTCGTCCTCGTCCTCCTCCTCCCTGCCATAGCTAACAAAAGAAGCAATCAGCAAACTACTTGGCTCCCCTCAGTGTATTTTTCCATGCTAACTGGCTGGTGAGTTGTCTTTCCAAGGATGCTCTCTGCTGCCAGATTACCTACCAACCCTGCCAATTTTGAGATAAGAGTATTAGCTTAGGCTTCCTGAATAGTTTTTGTAGATGTAGTTGGCTTCTGCCTTATTCTCCCACCTTTCAATTTAGGTTTAAAATATATCCATAATACTCCCTCTCTCCCTCTCATTTTTTGTTAATCTGTTAATCTATTCAATAGGATTGTCTAAGAAATAAAAAATCACAGGTGTTTCTTGAATTTCATAAGCAAAGAGCTGCAATGATTGCAAAAAGTACAAGAATAATAAAGGAAACTGAGTTAATCCTTTAGTATTATTCTTTGGTGGCAGGAAAAAAGGAATAAACCATACAAAAGAGAAACATAATCAGTCTGTTTCAGAAGTCAGTAATAAGTAGTTGCTGATTAAACCTGTCTCTTTTTACTTACCAACTTATCCAGAAGTTCCTGTTTATTCTTCCTCTTCAACATCTGTTGCATTTGTTCCTCCTTTTGTATAAGAAGCCGCCTCTGTTCATACTCCTGCCGTTCAACCGCCAGTGCCTCTTCCAGCTCCTCTTGTTCTCGAGACTAAGCAGAACCATAATAATTAATACTTCTGAGCTGAAACTTGTTGAAGGTACAGGACTCGGGCAACAGAAAACCCAAAAAAGCAGCTAGCTAGTATCTACACTTAGGAAAAGTCAACTATGGACATCAAGGATATTATAGTTTTTTTGCATTTTGACACAGATGGGAGCTGATATCATCCTTTCCCATAACAAAATAGCACTTAAAGAATAAAAAGATAATGTATAATCCTTCATTCCAATAAGTCATTTCGTGAGCCCTCCTTTTCAGACTAACAAGATAAAGGTACCAGGCTAAAGGCTAAATCTCATTCTCAAACACTCAAAACTAACAACAGAAATATGTCCAAATGATCGGCACCTCCTTTACTTGTTCAATTAAGGATTAGATTGCATCCACGTTTCAAGCAAAGCTGGGAAGAGAAACCAAATATACTTATGTCTTCCCTGTATGTCATGAACACCTCAGCCTATTTTCCCTGAAGGTTTATTGAAATGACAATGCAGATATCTATATCCTATATCCTAAAGTCACTAGATAAAGGAACTCCAAAAAATGGATGAGCAGATGGAACAGATGCATTTAAATATTTTGCCCTTAATTACTTTGTTTCAATTAATTCAGGGGGGAAATGACACAAGTAAGCCCTACACAACTTACCAATTTGATCTTATTTTTATGAATAACTTCTTTGTTTTCTTTCTGGTATATTTCCATTTTCTTTCTTGTGCTTTCTACATCCACATTGTTGGTGAGGTTGAATACTGGATCAACATTGATTAAAAAACAATGGAGAAGGGAAGGGAAAGGAAGGGGAAGGGAGGACAGCTATATATCAATAAACATTAAAAGCATTGCCTTTGTTCCAAGAATAATATTTCCTAAAATATTCCTATCTTTAAAATAATAGTTACTGGTAGAAATTTTGGAATAAGCTTCTTCTAAAAATTGGTGATGAAATTATCACCTTCTATATTCACACACTTTTATTTAAATTTTGTTTTATCCTCAGTTGTTCCATAATTCCATCAAGTAACAGCCTACTTGTTGTAGTCACTGCTGAAAAGATAGTCACAGGATTATACTAACTGTGAAAAATGCAAAATTCAAGCATTCTCATATGTTAATTCAACTGTACAGGAAAAGAAGCAAGTATCTGGAAATGCGATGAATTCTTCAACAATACGGATGTCAAAGTCTAGATATGATTGTAATTTTTCCCCCATTATGCTTCTTATATAATGCTACATTACTGATTTTTGGCTCAACCATACTTGGGATTCTTGGTAAAGTTCTAGACACTGCTCAATTCTCATAAGAATATTGGGAAGCTAGAAAGGATGCAGAAAATAGTTGAGGTATAACCGTGTCTAGAACTGACCCTGGGGTCAGAATAAGGCAGCCACTTCTGATAGTCGAAGTTTAGAATAAAAAAGGCAGAAAATTGTTACAGTTCAGTGAAAAGGTGTTTGTTTCATTTTGAATTTTGGATTTTGGCATAAATCAAAAGAAGAATGGAATGGAAGGAATAAAATTTACTCTATTTCATTATTTCATAAACAAAATAATCCAACATGTGAAAAATATAGAAAAGCACTTGTCCACTAGATTCTATAATGGGTTGTATCAACTTTCATAATAATAACCACCTTCTCCTGTGTGGTTCTAGTCCATCTTCAGTCATGAAAACTCACGGGGTAACTTTGGCCTTAAATAATCTCTTTCACAAAAACAAGATTTTGTGGAAGGGGGAAAAAAAGAGTAGAACTTGTGCCACTCTCAGACACATGCACATAACCAAATAAAAATACTACTAATATAACAACTTCCTATAACTGGTGAGCAATATTATAGTTACCTAGAAATGGAAAAATAAGGCACAAAATAGAATGTAGGAGTGAATGAATGAATACTATCAATTAACTTTTTATCAGGGAACAGCATCTATGGAACGTCCTCAATGGCAATTAAAATAACTAGCTTTGAACACCCATGTGGCACCTACTCACAACTTAGCATCTCCAGTTAGACTAGGACTGCAATTCCCAGAATGCCCATTTGCCAACCTGGGAGAGAATATAATGATCGTGAGGGCCCATTTGTTACTCTGTTTCAGGAAACAAATTTATCAGATTAGCATTAGTACAGATGGCTGTTATGCAGACAACTTAGAAAAGTCTTTCTTATGTGAGCACAACATACATTTGCAAATAAATCTGTTTTAGGAGAAAAAGGAGATAGACAAGTGTACTTTTGTCCATCTCGCTCTCATTCTTTTACATATTGGCCTGCCTTTAAGATGTTAAGATATACAGCACAAAGCACATTGTTTTTAATACCACTTTCATATCCGAAAGAAACTCAAAAATCAAACAAAGAAAATTCCAATTTAACTGGTAAGGCTGTGGGCATGAGATAGATGTGTATGCATGCATTCAAAATCACACAGCACAATAACTAGTCGAATTTCTAGTGCTGGAGAGTGGGGGGGAATCAATTCAGCTGCAGCACAAATCTCCAACCACAGAGCTGGGTACTCAGGCCCATCTACCTCACTCAGTGTGCTACCTCACCAGGAGAGGGAGCTGCTGGTCTTTTGTTCAAGCTGTTTGGCACCACTGGCTCCAGAAATGGCCAGAAAAACCAAGACTGGATGACAAAAAAAATAATTGGACTTCAACTCTCTCTGCTCTTCAGAATTGGAATAACTTAACTTTTGATCAAAATGACATTTGTACTTGCTTTTTGCTAATTGGTGGGTTAGCTCACCTTCCTGCCTGATCACACCTGATATCAGCTTTGTTTCACCTATGTCAGCTTCCTTGTCCAATAATGATCAGTAAATGCTTGCTTGCTTGCTTGCTTGCTTGCTTGCTTGCTTGCTTGCTTGCTTGCTTATTTATTTATTTATTTATTTATTTTATTTATTTATTTATTTATTTATTTATTTAAATGTATATGCCACCCATCTAGCCTGGAAATGACGCTAAGAAGCTTACAATCATTAAGAACAACAGAAATATTAAAAATTAAAACAATAAATATCATTAGTTTAAAATTAGCTTTAGGGAAGGGAAGGAACACAATATGGTGCATAGGAGGGGCGGCGGGGGGAGAAGGTGGGTCTTATCCACTCCATTAACTACCTCCAGAATGGCGCATCCCCATTGGGTCCCAGGCCAGTTGGCAGAACCAGGTCTTCAGGCCTTTTCGGAAGGTCAAAAGAGTGGGTGCAGATTTCACCATGAAGGACATAATGTTCCAAAGGGCAGGAGCCACATTTGAAAAGGCTCTTCCCCTAGACTCCACCAGCTAGAATTCCTTGACCGATGGAGCCTGCAGCATGCCCCTACTGCCAATACAGCTAACCCATCCAACCTGGTAAACTGGATCCATGCTATGAAGAGCCTTAAAGATGATAACCAACACCTTGAATTGGACCCGGAAGCAAACTGGCAACCAGCTCATGCAACAGCAGTGCATGAGCTACCATGGGCTACCATGGGCTACCTTAGGGGCTTCAAGAACTGTTCTCATGGCTGCATCCTGTGCCCACTGCAACATCTGGATATTCTTCAAGGATCGCCTCATGTAGAGTGCATTGCAGTGGTCCAAGCAACACATGACCAGGGTTTGAGCGATTGAGCACAGGAATTTATGATGGCTTGATTATTGTTTGAATACAATAAGAATCAGGACTATTGAAAGTAAAATAAATAACAATGGCACTGCAAGTCACCAACCTTGTCAGATAATTTGTACTCACATTAATTTGCTTACTATCACCCACTTTTGACTTCTTTTTATGATATAGTTAAGAGCAGGGGCAGAAACAGAAAGAGAAAAGTAAACGAGTAAAATGACCACACAAAACCATCAGCAAATGCACAGAAAGCAAAACAAGAGATAATAGATCCAGGGGATTTCTTAGAGGGAAAGGTTTGGGGACACACGGCCCCAAAGGTCATGCATATCTCGCCACCTATACTCAGATAACTGCTGTGCAGGGTAAGGAGAAAGGGATTTGATTGAAATATGCAGACTAAAAGCTCACTGGAGTATAGCCATAAATAGAGGAAAGGCATTAAATATTAACAAGACCTCAAAGAGCACATACATCTCTCCCCTATTAACACGCCTTGGTCTTCAATGCAAGAAAGATCCTATTTCCCCACCCAATCCGTTAGGTCAACATTCCCCAATGAGAATGTTGTCTTACAACTGCCATCAAAATGGGACAAGCCCCAAGCCATAGCATCTGTAGGCCTGAAATCCAACAAAGGAGGAGAAAAAAAGAGAGAGAGATTTCAACTTGCTCTTTAACTTCTGTCCTTTTGCATTAGCCCCATAAACACATTGCCAAAATGGTACACAAGGTCAAATGTTTCAAGCCCTCCCGGCTACTGTACTTGAAGCAGCAAGAGGATTAGAAGGGGTACATATGGCTACTGTCATGGTGAATAAAGGCAAATGGAAGCAAGATTAAGAACTGAACGATACTCCTTTCCCCTTTTCTTTCAGGGAGTTTTTCTTTTGCAGTCCCAGCAATAACCTACAAAGCATTTTTATAACCACATTTGCAGTATGTGTTTCCCACCATACCACAACCCATCCCTACTATGACTACTAGAAACATTTATTATCCAGATACATCCCTCGAATTGAAGAGCTCTTGATTAAAAATGCAAAGAGAAAGTAATTAGCCAATCATCAAGTGTTCCAATAAAGATCAGTGAAGAGAGGCTCAGCTTTAACGCTCAATGAGGCTGGCAGGAAATAAAAGCATGCAGAGCATCTAATATGCACACATTAGAACTTACCAATTTCTTCCACTTCTTCCAGGAAATCATTGTATTCTGCTAAGCTGGGGAAGTCATCCTCTCTTTTATTGTATCTTTGTAAAGAGACATACAAAAAAAAAAACCCACAATAGGATTACATTTGGGCATTCAAAAATATAAACGTCTGACATTCTTTCTTCATCCTTTCTGAGAAGCCAAGCACTCAGATTTTATCTAAACTGATCTTTTCTGAACCTTAAGTGAGTCAGCAGCTAATAAAAATGCTTCCCCAAAGTCAACAGAATAGAGCAATGACAAATGGATAAAGGATCTAAAGAGCTAAGAAAATTATAACCTCAATTAAGTTTGTCATTTTATTTAAAGGTGATATGTCTTGAACAAGATCATATAAGCCTGAGGCCAGGTAGTGTCTCATATTTTTAAACGGTTATGGTAATTTTTATAGCTAAAGAGCAATAAAGGAAAAAAAGTAAAAATACCATTCTTGCTAGTTTTTATGCTTAGAAACCTGGCTGTTTTTGATTAATTCCACGTAATAGCAATAGCACTTAGACTTATATACCACTTCACAGTGCTTTACAGCCTTCTCTAAGTGGTTTACAGAGTCAGCATATTGCCCCCAACAATCTGGGTCCTCATTTTACTAACCTTGGAAGGATGGAAGGCTGAGACAACCTTAAACCAGTGAAAATTGAACTGTTAGCAACTGGCAGAATTAGCCTGCAATACTTTATTCTAACCACTGCGCCACCATGGCTCCTGTGGTTGGACTATCTCATCCCAAAGGGACTGGCACGGGTACTCAAGTCCACAGAGGAAGCTTCAGCCAGGATATTACAGCTGGCAGGGTCCAGGAGAAGAGCCTTCTCTGCTCTTGCTTCTGCCCTTTAGAACAGGTTGCCCTGTGCCAGAGTTTCCAACCATCCTGACTTTCCGCCAGAGAGGCAGTGGAAAGATTAATAACAGATCCACCTCCTTCCTCATCTTTTAGTTAGGGTTGAGTATTTATATTTTTATAGTATTTTATTTATATTGTGTATAGGTTTTATATAGTTTTATATAGAGCTATGGTGACACCGTTGTTAGAATGTAGTATTGCAGGCTAACTCTGCCCATAGCTAGGAGTTCGATCCTGAGCGGCACAAGGTTGACTCAGCCTTCCATCCATCTGAGGACGGTAAAATGAGGACCCAGATTGTTGGGGGCAATATGCTGACATTGTAAACTACTCAAAGAGTGCTGAAAAGTCTAACTGCTATTGCTATTATCCTTTCAATATTATAAAATGCCCAGAGTTACCCTATATTTATGGGATAGATAGATGATAGATAGATTTTTCATAAAACTGTTCAGAAAAAAACAAAAGTGCTGAGATGGTGAATAATATCATGGCACTTTACATGAAGGACAAGTTTTTGTACCAAGGAACCTATCATCTAAGTCTGATTAAAAAAAAGGAGGAAGGAAAACATATGAAGAAACGAGAGCAGACAAATAAAAAGAAAGTGAATTTCCATATATTATTTCTTCTATTAAAAACATTGTGCATATATATGCATTTAAAATTTGCAGATGTATAGTCACACTATATTTATGCCAGTCAAGATGTACAAGTTATATTTTAAAAGTGCTATATAAATGCTTGGTAAACAAACATTTAAATATATTCATGTTAACAACCAAGCATTAAAACTCCCAACACATCAGAATTAAGAAAATTTAAGTTTCCTGCCTGAAATATTGAGATATGGAATGATATTTATGCACAAATCATGTGTCTTTGTTTCTTTGTTTCTGTGCATTGCTCTGCCCTATTTTATATTTTTAAAAAAACGTAAGAAAAATATGAGAAAACAGAAAAAATACTTTCCTGACCAAATATATTGAGATCCAAGGTAAGAATATTTTGTAAATATTTTAAACAAAGTCTTTTCACAAACATAACCAAAATGAATTTGGAAGCACAAACAAAAAAAAGAGGTGGCTTCTCTTAATTGAGGCTTTCTGATACTTACATTTTCAGCACCTTCTTACGGATTTCCACCTCCTTGTCAACAGCTGGATCCTCAAAGAGTTGTACTCTGAAGTTGCTCTTCCGCAAAGGGGTATCACACTCTTGGCAATTCCCAGATCCCCGAACAAACAGCAGCTCCACGCAGCTTTCACAACTGAAAGAGAAAAACCACTTGATGCTAAAAAATAAATAAGTAATAAAATAGACAGGTGGTCCAGTAGCTAGCTTCATATTCATGCTTCCTATTTATATTCAAAGGGGAGGGGGGGAGATAAATCTATGCATGAAAGAAAAAAATAACACATTTTACAGAAGTGAAAGATTCCAGAGAAACAATAATCCAATTACTTGGTATAAGCAGTGGCTTAAGCATTCATTACAAAAAGATGAAATCAATATGGCTGATGAAAGACTCTCTCCCCTTCTCAAGAACCAGCAAAGGAAAAATTTTTCAGAAAGTGCTTTTTACAATCTCCAGACAGAGCTAGTGACCCAAAGAAAGGGAATTGTAGAAGATGCTCAATTCTACACTGTTGTAAGCAGAGATGGTTAAAAATTTTATTTCCTTCTCACTGTTAAGTAAGTCAACCCAATTCATACTTCCAGGAGTATTCTCATTCAAGATTTTGTATTTCTCCAAACACTGTGTGGTATATTCTTGATCTAAGCCAGGGCTGTCAAACTCCCGGCCCATGGGTCAAATGGATCATGCGCTGGCCACACCCATGCCCAGTTTAGCAAAGGGGGGAAAAGTTCTTATACGTCACATGACGCCACCATGACGACTTGAGTTTGACAACCCTGATCTAAACTAAATAAAAACAACAAAATGTGTACTGAAGACTACAATGGGAATAAAAATGTGTATTTTGCTGGAAAAAAATTCATTGTTCCCATCAACACAAATTGAAGTTTTCATGTTTCCCTTAAAAAGAATTTTAGATGTAATGTTGTTGTTTTATTAAAATAGGTGCATTAACCCCTACTAGAGATTTAATATATTCTTAATTTTTGTTTTTAATCAAAATGGACGTTGTCTTACCTGTACGTCCCTTTTCTGAGTGCTGCGAACACTATCCATGGCTGGGTTAGTTCCTTCAGCTTTGGCAACAACTGAGTGAGAGCTAAACTTCCCTTTCCTGTGGTTTAGCCACACCCACAATCCCATGATTCCCCAGTCTGATACAAAGGCGAAGCAACACTGCCAACTAAGAGATAGAACCAATAACTTTATTAACAGCATAACCAGCAACAATAATAACAGGGGAACGGTGAACTGGAAACGAAATAACACAAGCAGGCAGCTACAAGGGAGGGAGGGATAGTGTTCGCAGGACTCAGAAAAGGGACATTCAGGTAAGACAACGTCCAATTTCCTGAGGGCTGCTCCCACTATCCATGGCTGGGATATACCCAAGCTTAACCTCAAGGGTGGGAGGCTGCCTGCCCTCCATAGTCCCCGTCCGGTACAACTCTTTGGAGTACCCGACAACCAAAGGATGCCTCCGCCGAGGCATAGGCGTCTATCCTGTAATGATGAATGAACGGGGAGAACGACGACCAGGTCGCCGCCCTGCAAATGTCCTCCACCGAGGCCTGTGTCGCCCAGGCCGCTGTGGTGGCTGCGCTACAAGTGGAGTGAGGCAGGATCCTGCCCAGTAATGGTTTGGAGTTCAAGTTGTACGCCATAGCGATGCAGGCTTTGATCCAACGGCCCACCGTGGAAGCGGAGATCTTCAAGCCCATCAAGGCCGGGTTGAACGAGACAAGGAGTGCCTCCGTTCATCAAAATGAAGCAGTGCGACGGATGTAACATCGAAGGGCTCGCCGTACGTCGAGGGTGTGACATTCCTTCTCCCGGTGATCGCGAGGCGACGGGCAAAAGTCCAGTGAAACGAGTTCCTGAGCTCGGTGAAACCGCAAGTTCACCTTAGGAATGAAAGAGGGGTCTAGGCGTAGAATCACCGTACTTTCCCTAAAAATGCATAGGTCTTTTCTAGTAGACAGGGCCGCCAATTCAGAGACCCTCCTGGCGGAAGTGATAGCTAGGAGGAAGACCACCTTAAAGGACAGGTACTTCAGTGCCACGGACCGCAGAGGTTCGAAGGGGGGGCCCATTAGAGCTCTCAGTACTAAGGGAAGATCCCATATCGGGTAACGGTGCACAGCCGGAGGTCGTAAGTTCCCCGCACCCTGTAGGAAACCCCTGATTAGCGGGTGGTGTGAGATTGATTGGTAAGGAGGGCAACTGACCACCATTGACAGTGCCGCCGTCTGCCGTCACAATGTAGCCGGAGTCAAATCTTTGTCTAGGCCTGCCTGCAGGAATTCGAGGATGTCGTGAACAGCCGCCGAAGTCGGGTCCACATGATGTATCGAGTACCAGATGCAAAACGCTCGCCATGAAGCCTCGTAGATGCGAGCTGTTGAGGGTCGTCTCGCCGCTTGAATGGTCCCAATGACCTTATCTGACAGGTTCTCTTTCTTCAGCCTGACCCGTTCAAATGCCAGACGGCCAACTGGAGCCACTGAGGCTCTGGATGACAGACCGCCCCCTGGCACAGAGCTATCTGGTGTGGGGGTATCACCCACGGTTGTTCCATGGATAATGTCACGAGGTCGGAGTACCATGGTCTTCGAGGCCAATTGGGAGCCACTAGAAGCAAGTCAGCTTTTTCCGCCAGCAACTTCCGAACGACGCACGGTAGCAGCGGAATTGGTGGGAAGGCGTACAGGAGGCCTCTGGGCCACTTGCAGCTTAGGGCATCGTGATCCTCCACCTGAGGGGGTGGATAGCGAGACACAAAGCGAGGCAGTTGTGTGTTGGTCAGTGTTGCGAAGAGATCCAGCACCGGCGTCCCGAAACAAGCAGCGAGCTCCTGAAACAAGCGGGGGTGGAACTGCCACTCCACTGGGTTTATCTGTTCCCTGCTGAGACAATCTGCCCTGACATTGGCCGACCCCGAGATGTGATCCGCCTTTATCGATAGCAGGTGTTTCTCTGCCCAGCTGAATAGGGCCTCTGACTCGAACATCAGGGCCCGAGACCTTGTCCCCCCCCCCCCTCTGCTTACGTGAGCCTTGGCTGAGATATTGTCCGTGAGGATCAAGATGTGCCGATCCACTACCGTCTCCCGAAATTGTAGTAAGACCAATCTGATCGCCCGTAGCTCTAGGAGATTGATGCTACTGCATTTCTCACGTGGCGACCACCTCCCCTGTGCTACCAAGTTGTGCAGGTGCGTCCCCCATCCTTGGAGGCTTGCGTCGGAGGTGAGGACCAGTCTGTCCAGTTCCAGGAAGTCGCAGCCCTTGCGTAGAGCGGGAGACATCCACCAGTTGAGGGATAGACGAACCTGGGGTGGCAGGAACACTTCGTGTTTTGAGTTCGACTTGCCCGTCTGTTGGAAGGGGAGCAGGAACCATTGAGGGGGCGAGAGTGTCTGCGTGCCCACGGTACGATGTTGAAGCTGGATACCATCTTCCCGAGTAGACACGATAACTGAAGCAAGGCGATTTTCTTTCGAGCCCGGACCTGGTGAATTAGGTCCTGCATGCTCCGAATTCTTTCCGGGGATAGGAACACCCGGCCTTTTACTGAGTCTATCACCGCCCCCAGGTGAAGCAGCCAGGTGGATGGTACCAGTTGGCTTTTTTGAAAGTTGATCGTGAAGCCATGGTTCTGGAAGGCCTTCAGTACGAGGTCCATGTCCCTGACTGCCTGGTTCCGAGATGACGAGGGGACCAGAATATCGTCAAGGTAACAGAGAATCCGAACCCGGAGTGGCCTGAGGGTTGCCGCTACCACTGCTACTAGCTTGGTGAAGGTGCGGGGTGCTGACGAAAGACCAAAGGGCATCGCGCAATATTGGAAGTGCCAGCCCGTGTATTCGAACCTCAGATACTGCCGGTGGTCTGGATTGATGGGTACATGTAAGTAAGCTTCCCTGAGGTCGACCGATTGGAGCAGGTCTCCCTGTCTCACGCCAGCCAGAATCGACCAGAGGGAATGCATTTTGAACCTGCGGTACCTGACTGCTAAATTCAGATGCTTCAAGTTTAGGATGCCCCTCCAACCTCCCGAGGTCTTGGGTACCAGGAAGAGGACCGAGTAGTAGCCGCAACTGTGTTGGCTCTGAGGCACTGGTTCTATCGCTCTGATGCTTAAGAGATGTGCGATCTCCTGGGTCATCAGTAGGTTGAGTTCTTGTGAAGACGGGATCGGGCATCGCAGAAATCGACTGGGAGGACGTCCGATAAATTCTACGGAGAGTCCAAATGAGGTCGTGCGCTGCACCCACGAGTCCTCGGTTGACTGGGCCCATTGTTGTGCGAAGAGGCTGAGTCTCCCGCCGATGGGGCCCGAGACCTGGGCGTCACTTGCTCCTCTGGGGTGTTTTGAACCCGGCTCCTCTACATGGTCGCTTGACTTGCTGGTTGCGACCTCAGTTGCGGAACTGCTGTCTATCTTGATACCGGTCCCCGCCGTGGAACTGGGCATGCTGAGAGGACCCACTGGGCCCTGAGCTAGCCCGAAAGGGCTGTCATTGGGAGTAAGGGACGTAATGCCGCTCCGGCCATCGGTGCGAGGATTGCATCACTTTCCTCTTGTCCTTGTCCTCAACCAGGACAGGGTCTAACGCTGGTCCGAATAGGTCCGGCGTTTTGTAGGGTGCTACCACCAGCTTCCATTTGGCCTTGAGATCCGCTTTCCAGTGACGTAGCCAGAATAGTCTCCTAGTCGTAACTGTGAAAGTGAGGGCCCTCGAAGCAAATTTTGCAGAGTTCAAGGAGGCATCAGCTGAGTATTCGGTGGCCGCGACGATTTTATTGATGTCCTGGTGCAGCCTGGTATCCTCAGGAGGAAGTCTCTCCTGTAGCTGACGAAGCCAGATTAGCACTGCTCGGTTGAAGAAGGAGGTCGCTGTCGCCAATCTGATGGCCCACGCCACTGCCTGCTGCGACTTGCGAAAGGCCAATTCCGTCCGTTTTTCCTCTGCTTAATCTGAATCCTCCGAGGAGACTGTCTGGTCTTGAGATGTTCAAGGCTGAGACTGTACTTGCTCTTGAGCCTCCTGGCCAGCCAATGGTTGATAGTGAAGCTGCGTGGCTTGCTGAATACTTGCAGCTAAGAAGGATGATAATGCAGATGAG